AGGAAGTTTATGAAATGATTATTGTGTGCAACTTTCCAGTTTAGCTTAGAGATCAGTCTGGGTGAACTAATTCCATCTCCCTAATGACTAAATGCTTCATATTAATATAACCCAGAGCAGGCAGGTTCAAGCAGCCTGCCTTGCTTTCATTCCCTGGAATAATTAGATCTTGAGAATCATTTTGTGTCTCCTTGGCTTTCTCTAAATTTGTTGTTTCTTAAAAAAAAAAAGGTTTCCTGCACCTCCTGTTGCCATGTGTCCTAATGGGAAAGCATGGGTTTGGAAAAGTGTGGGTGCACGGATTTAAACCAGCTGGAAAAGCTGGAGGAGCCAGGCAGGGGAGCAGCTGGAGTGAATCCCTCAGGACAGGGCCAGAAATCATGGAATTACAGCTCCTTCCATGCTGTGACCAGGAATGTTCTGACACAGAGGCTGAAACACACAAAGAGAACCTTGGGATTGTTCCAGCGTTGGAACCTCCAAGCTGCTCCTGCAGAGAATTCCCAGAACTTTTATCCCAGTGAATCCCAGTGGGTCCCTGGGCAGGAGGAAGGGGGGAAGCAAAGCAGGAGCCTGTTTCAGCTGGGAATCCTGCAAGCCTCACAACAAAAGAACCATGGAGCACAAAATCCAAGGGCTGGGAGGGGAGGGATGCACCCAGGCTGGGAAAACTCCTCAGGAAGGTTTTCCTCCAGCACCTCTGGGACTGAGGCAGGCTGTGTCCCACCAGAGCTGCCAGCCTCAGCTCCTCTTCTACAGAGTTTGGGCATCTGGTGTGGAAGTGATAGTAAAAGGTTTTAAAATCATGGAAAATTTGGGGATTTAGAAAGAAAGTTGGGCTTGGCAAGCCCTGGGAAAAGTAGGCCCTGGGAAATGTTAGGCCCTGTGCTTGCTAAAGATCATGTCAAACTGCACCTGTATAATCAATATATGATAAATGATACAATTGTTAGATGTGATTAGATATAATTATTGTTTAAAGAACATGAGGAACAATGTTAGGGGTTTGGGGGGGATCACGAGAAATCCATGCTTGGGTAAAAACAATACATACAATAGAACAGCGTAAGTTTAATAATTAATATGTAAGTTATATAACAATAGAGTATAAAACATGTTCAGCTCAAAAGCAAGAGGGATCAGATTTGGGTCTATATACCCCTGACACCCAGAGCTCTTTAATAAAGCACCTTCATGCAATCATTAGTGATTATGTGCTCCTGAACACCAACAGAAGCAGGTGTAGGGTGTGTGGGACCAGAGCTTTTTAATAATTCTAACACCACAAAATGCCTGGAACAAATGGCTTTTGCTGCTGCCGTGTTCATTATGCAGGCAGAGCTGTCCCTAATTAGATAATATGAGATTTCTTGGCTCACACCAAGCAATTCAGAAGAAAGAGCCTCGTTATTGATGGGACAAACCACACAAAGCAATGGAGCAGAGTTTAATAAAGCAGAGAAGTATCAAAGAGAGAAAGGTTTTAATTCTTAATAAGTAGATCCATGGGTTTCATTAACCAGCGTTCAAAGGGGTTTTTTTAGGGTTGCTTTTATTACCTAATTAATTAAAGCCTGACCAATAAGATAGATTAGTCCAATGGAATTGCATCTTGTATTAATAGAAATACTAATTAATCACTGAGCTGGAGCATTGCTGTGCACTGGGGAGAAATCATTCCAGGGTAAATTTGGAGAGAAAGCTGGAAAAGAAAGGGGAAGGGTGGGCTGAGCATGGTTTTCTCCCCCAAAATGGGATTTTGATGATCATGGCCAGTCCAGCTGACAAAGTGCAGGAATAAATGGAAAACAATGAGTTCAACATTTTCAATGGCATTTCTGAGGTTTTAAATGAACTTTCTAAACCCCTTCCACGGCCCCATCCTTGGGTTCCATCCCCACATTCCCAGGATGAGGAGGACGTGGATAACCCAGGACTGAGACAGGATTATCCCAAAACCTCTGGGACCTCCATTCACAAACAGCCTGAATTCCAGGGAATTTCAGCTGTGACATCAGACCTCCTTCCCTTCTCCTTATTGCACATTCCCAGCCAGGGAAAAAAAAAAACAGGGAGGAAAAAAAAGGGGAAAAAAAAAAGGAAAAAGGAAGGGAAGAAAAGAAGGGAAGAAAAAGAAGGAAAGTAAAGCAAAGGAAAAAAGAAAAAAAAAAAAAGAAACAAAACCCCCAAACAACCCCAACTCTGTTGAATCTGATTTTTTTGCCACCAAATTATGGACAATTTTCCTTCCTGCTCTCCAGATCCCAGCTCTGCTGTGCTGCATCCATGCACTCAGGCAGGGAAGCAAAAGGAAAGGACAGGGAATCATTTGCACATAAATATTAAAAAAAGAGAATCTGTAGCTCCCACATCATTTGTTTCCTCATTAAGCAGTGTCTGCGAGCATGGGGATATTTGACCTATTAAAAATGCTTATTTAAATACTCCTTCTAGAGTTAATTTTTCCTCCTGAAGGCTGCTGTAAAAAAATCCATCTCCTCTGGAACAGAGGAGGGGGAAAAGCAGTTTTTCAAGCCAGAGTTTTGTGTTCCATATGAAGTTCTGTGACAGAGCCACGCTGCTGACACACCACGAGGAAGATGATTCATGGAACTTTCCAAGAGCTGTTCATGTTAGCAATGACTTAGCCCAAATGAACATTATAAATAATTAACAGTATGCAGATTGCCATTATTGGAAAGTTGCTGGGCTTTGCCCAGAGAGCGATTTCAATTATTCAGAAGTATTAATAAATTGAAATTTTATTTCTTTTTTCCCTCCCCACTTAATTTGGCTGGGTTTTTTGTATTTTAGAGCACCTGCCTGGAGTGTGGAAATTCTCCCCATGATCTTCCAGTGCCAAGGGAGTTCTCCCCACAATCTCCAAATTCCAGGGAGTGTTTCCCATGATCTCCAAATTCCAGGGAGTGTTTCCCATGATCTCCAAATTCCAGGGAGTGTTTCCCATGATCTCCAAATTCCAGGGAGTTCTCCCCACAATCTTCAGGTTTCAGAGAGTGCTCCCCAAAAATCTCAGAATTCCAGGGAGTTTTCCCCACAATCTCCAAAAGCCACAAGAGTTGTACCCATGATCTCCCAGTTCCAGGGACTTTCCCCCACAAAATCCCAGTTCCAGGGAGTTCTCCCCATGATCCCCACTCTCACAGGGCAGGGGGCACTGGGGCACTCCCAGTCACACCAGTTGCTCCTCATGGAGACTGGAACTCCCTCCTGGCCCTGGTAAATCCAGCCCTGATCACCAAGGCTGGGCTGGGGCTGCTCCCAGTTCTCCCAGTTCACCCAGTGGCTCGTGCAGGAGGTCAGAGCATCCTCACCAGATGAGGTGATAAAGCCTCTCCCCGCTTTATCAGCATTACCTAAATAAAAAATAACTTCCCAGGGCTGCTGTTTGGAGAAGCAATCGTGCTGCCTCCCCTGGAAAATGGGAATGACCAACCCTGGAATGCTCTGGTGAGGCTGGAGCAGCTGCCCCGAGCTCTCCTCCTCCACAGCCAGCCAACAAAACCCACAGATCTTTGGGGAGAAAAAGGTGCTTTTCAGTAAAATGATATCAAACCAGAGGTCTCTCACCAGTGTGGGGACAAACGAGGCTGAAGGGGCACAAAGCAGCTCCCAGGGAACATTTATTGGTGACTTTTAGGTGGATGAACAATACAGGAGGTGATGAGTGACACAAAATCCCTCCCCAAAAGCAGTTCCAAGCCCGGATAAAGGTGAACATCCCTAGGAATTAGAAGCCCCTTTCCCACTGGGTGATGCTTTGCAGTTCCCTGGGCAGGGATAATCCCACATTTTCCTGGGAAGCCTTGGAATTGCTTTTCCCAGCGCTCCCCCTTGGACACAGCGAGGTTCCAGCGGCAGAGCCAAAGCCTCCAACTGCGGCACAAGGGAGGGCTCTGCTGGAAGCAAACCGGAGCTACAGCACCACAGACCTCTGGCCTGCTCTGAAACTCTTAGTCCCGTGTTTTTTACTCTAAAAAAAGCGAATTTCCAACACATTTTTGGATTTTAAATCTTGTATCACAAAGCGATCTTACTACACCCCCGTCTCCCAGGAAAGCAGCAATGGCAGAGCAGTTTTTTTTGAGATAATTTTGTAATGTGGGATGGAAAGGCTGCAATCAAAGCACTCAGTCCCAATCCAGAGCTGCTCAAGCCTCTGGAAGTAGATAAAGCAGCAAGACAAGATAAGGAATGACAGCAAATAGCAGCTCAGGGCAGTGATTCCACTGGGAAATGTGCAGGCACAGGGAAAACATCAGGGCTGGGGTTTTTTGCCCCAAAATCAGCATCTCAGCCTCTTTACACTCACTTTAGAATTGACACTTAGAAGTCTGTTATCCAAAAACCCAGAGGAACTTTAAAACCACTGCAAAATTCCCATCCCTGATGTTCAACAGACATTTTCCTGGAACGTGGAGTTTGATCCAGACACAGCAAATGTCCCATCAGCTCTGCACAGCAAAGCAGGAAACAACACAAGAGATAATGCCAGCCAGAGAAAAACAAATCCAGGAGGGAAAAGCAGCAGAAGAGAACCAATAAATCAAAGTGATGGTCAGCTCATTTCCACGTTCCTGTTCTCAAACCCAGCACGAGCTGTTTCCCAGGCTGGTTATCCATGGGCTGCAGAAAGCCCTGCAAGGTTCTTGGTGCAGAATTCCCACCTGAAACAGGTTTTTCATGGACTGATGGACAAGGGATTGGGAATCCCAGCAGGGAGGTCAGGACCTGCTCATGAGACCAGGAACTGCCACATTTCACTTATCCCACATCAATCCCTGCTCTCAGCTGCCCCCAAATCCTCAAGGAGAAAGGGAACAGGAGGAGAAGAAAGAGCCCTGTTGTTTTGGGGTGGGTTTATTCTCCTGCAGGAAGAATAAATGGGATTCCCCCAGCTCTAACCAGATGAAAACCCAGTGTACAGAAGGTGCAGGGAGATCCCCTACAAGACAATCACACATCAGAGTAGTCAAACACACTGTTTTTTTAATGCAGACTTGCAAAACACAAGCCAAGTGTTGAAAATTCAGGACATTTCATGAAAGCACATTTGGTCCTCTTCCAAGTTTCCTGTCCTCACTTAACACTTCATGGATAAATAACAATTAAGCATACATGGCACTTTTAGTTAAGAAAACCTGATATTGCACATGATACCAAGAAATATAAGAGACTGTTTCAGCAAGTGATTCCAGCACTGTCACCAGTTCCATTTTGATGCCATTCACTTGTACACAAACTCTCATTTTAGTGCCTAACAGGTGCCCTGTCCTTACAGAGTAAAAACATATCCAAGCAGTTTTAGAACAAAGAGGAGGAAAAGTTGACTCCTGAAGGAACAGAGTCTTTTACCACCAGCCTCTGTGAGGATAAAGAGCATTTCTGTGGAAAGATGACTGTCACATCACCTGGCAACAGAAATTCCAAAGCAATTCCCAAGGGAAGCTGACCATGTTTGGCTGGAAGGCTGCAATTCCTGTCTGGGCTGCTCCATTCTCAGCCACCTTTCACTATTCCTGGCAATCACAAGGAAAACACAATGGCAGAACAGTTGTGCAACTTCCTCAGGGTGGTGGAATTCTCTCTGGAAAGCTCTGGAAGGGATTCAGCCCTGGGCTCAGGAGTTCAGAAGGCACAAGCACAGGGAGTGGCCAGTGTCACATTCCGGGAGCTACACTGGGCTCAGGGACAAACCTGGATCAGGAGAAGCCACCAGTGCACTTAGGGTGTGTCTGTCCTGGTGTCCTGTCCTTCCTGGAATCCTGTCTACGCCAGAATCCTGTCCAATCCATCCCTGTCCATCCCAGAATCCTGTCCAATCCATCCCTTACCCCTGTCCATCCCAGAATCCTGCTGAGTTTTCACAGCCAGGGTGGGATGCTGTGCTGGGCTCCCACCCCACCACTTCCCACTGCAGAACTGGCTGAGCCCAGCCCTCTCTGCCCCTGCCTCTGCCCATCCTCTGCCCTTCTCACCCTGTACTGGCTGCAAGCACAGCCTGAACCTCTCCCAACCACCTTGAATTCCTGTTTTCCTTTCAAAGAGACACTCCAGCAATACCTTTGGCAAAGCTGGAATCACCAGCTGCCTCAAACACCAAGGCAACCCACTCTATTGCAATATTTTGGGAAATTTTAACCTATTTCCCTCTCCCCCTTCCAACCCTTCACCCCTTCAAACACATAATAAGACTAAGACTTGATGATATTTTTTTTTTTTCTGCCTGAATACAAGATTCAACTATCATGGAATGGAAGTTTCTATAACAAAGTCCCTGAGATGCATCTGTACATTAAAAGATTCCAACAATAACCTCTCCAGCACAAACTTCATATTTATTAGAAATGTTTTGACTTGCAACACGTGGTTTATGAAAACCAATGTTGTTGTAAGAAGGTGAAAATACAGCAGATCAAGTTGCCCTTGTATTTATGCCTCAATTTAAAAGTAATTAACCCAAAAAATAACATTCTACTACTTCAACTGTAGTCAAATTTAGAAGTATATAAGCAACCGGAAAACACTGGAAAAAAACCCAACTTGTTATATTTAAAATAGTTGTTTTGGCCTCAGTTTGTTCTCATCCCTCAAACCCTTAACTGCTTTCTTCCTGTAAGTTCACAGATGCTCTTCCAGGATCTTAAAAAAGAAACCAAATATCTCTTTTGAAGTGACTTTGGGCTCCACTGTATTTTGCAACCAGCTCATCAGAAACACTTTTCCATCTTCCCAAGGAAGCTCAGTTTTCCCTGCTAGTGAAGAGAACTTAAGGCACTAACACATGAATCCTGTCAGGAATGTGAAATAGTTTGTTCTTCATGTACTGTGACACCAGCTCTTAGCAGCATCTCTCCTGAAAAGGCACTACAACGTGGCAAACAAGGAAACTTTGGGAACTTCTGCCTGAGTGGCTTTGCAATTCCCCCTTCCCTCCCCCCTCTCCCTTCCAAAAAGGCACCTGGATTGGTTTGATCACTGGTTTCTGCAGCTGTGAGCTCTCACAGCCCTGCAGGTTCTATCGGCTGTGAGCGTCAGGGATGGCAGACTCTACCAACAGCTCTAACACCACCAGGAGTTCTCTTTCCAAGAGTACACAGAGCAGTTCTGTTTCAGCAAACCCAGTGGGTTCCTACCTGAGAAGACCTTAAGGTTGTGTATTGCTAGTCAGAAAAATTCAAATAACTTGGTGTAAAAAATTGCACTTCCCCACTCCTTCCCCAAGCCCCGAGGTCATTTCAAATTAAATACCAGACCCTGCTCTAGAGGGACATTTGTAACACAGCTACAAAGAGGTAGCTAAGTGGCACAGGCCAATTTGCCTTCTTTTTCTCCTAAAATATATTCAGCCTTCATTTGCAACAACATTTTTCATAGGAAGTCTTGAACCAAGAGCTGTTCAGGTGGCACAGGAGGTTACCCCAGCTCGGACTGAGCTCCGTCTCCTTTGTGTCCATGGCTGACCCAGGCCCAGGGGACACCTGGGGGACTCAGCCTGTGCAGGGAGCAGCTGAAGGGGGAGGAATGTCTGCAGAGGAATCCCAAGCTCCTCTGAAGTTTCCCTGCAGGGTCCCTCAGATCAGTCCCACCATTCTGTCGATCTGTCTCATGTAGTTGCTCTTCAGGGGCAGCAGGTACCTCCTCTCATCAGGGACTCTGTTACACTGTTGAGGAAATTTAAATCTTTTTCAAAACCCAAATCCAAACCCAGGCAAGCTCATCCCCCTGCAATCCTTTCAGATCCTCCCAGTACAGAAAATTGTACCAAATAACACTCTTTACTCCAACTTTCCCTCGTTCTTTGCAGACTTCCAGCACAAATCCCATAAATGAGCAGCAAGTGTTTCCTCAGTGCAGGCTGCAGCTTCCAAACACACAGCACAGCTTGTTGTGCAACTGAGATTTCCTTCACTATGACAACTGTGAATGTTCAAAATAATGCTCTTTTTCTGGAGCTTTGCAGGGAGGAGGGAAGGAACCACACAGAGATTTAAAAAAATTGTCCTTAGCTGCTCTAGGGGAAGGTGTCCTTGCCCATGGGGGTGGAATGAGATGCTCTTTAAGCTCCTTTCAACTCGAAGCATTCTGTGATTAAAACCAGTTCTGTTCTGGTTGGGGATGGGCACTGGAGCCACAGCTCTGGGGCCAGTTGAGGCCTTGCTAAGAAAGGTCCCCTCTACACCCCCCCAAAACCACACTGAGGAAGACAAAGTTTGGTTTAGATGACTCCCTGCTTCTCCCTTTGCCCCTGACAGCAACACTGGTGAGTTTTAAGAGCAAAGGAAAGGGGAAGGGAAAAATAAAGTAAATTAACAAAGAACAAAAAAAATTGCTGCAAAATACTTCAAAGGGGATGGGTTTCACCTGCACCAGGATCCCTCACATCACCCCACTTCTGCTGCTGCTGCTGGTGCTTTTCACAGGGGCTTCTCAGGTACTTCACATTTCTAAAGGAAACACTCCACAGTGCCACCTCCAAAGGGTTCTGGTTGTCCTGCCTGCCCCTTCCCGTGCCCAGGCAGGAGCAGCCTGTGCATTCCTTACGTTGGAGCTGAAGTTGGCTGCCTTGAGCTCGGTGGGTTTGGTTTTGTGGGCGCTGTCCTCCTGTCCAGGGAGGATGTCCTCCCACAGAGAGTTCCGGAACCGCTCGTCCACAGACACGATGTGGCCCTCAGTAGTAAACATGAACTTGTTCCCAGATTTATGCACTGGATTCTCTTCATCAAACAACTGAAGGAGAGACGGGAGAGACAGTCATTGTAGGTGTGCCACATCCTTCATCTCCCAGTAACAAGGAGCTGGAAACAGGTACTCACGCTTTGAAGGATCACACAAAAATACCTTTTAGTGCTAAATAATGCTGGAGCAAATGGAAATAAATAGTCTTAATGCAAGGGATTGATCCGAGCAGTCAGAAGAGGAGAGCAGAAGAAAAAACTTCTCACACAATTTAAAGTGCCCTTATTTTTCTAAGCTGCTCTGTGAGGCATTTCTAGGCTGGCATCCACTCAGTCACAGATTTATTTGGTTTTCTGCACTAAAGGAGATTGAGAACAGGGGCTCAGGCAATGTCAGCCCAAATGTTTTCTCCTGTGAGTGCCCAAGCCCAGAGGGGAGAAAGCAGAAGCTGCTCCAGGCAGGAGGGCTGCAAGCAGCAATAGCTCAGAGCTGAGCAGCAGCTCCCTCCAGTCCTGCTCCCTCTCCTTTCCAACCTCTTCCCAAAGACCTGCAGCTCTCCAGGCTCAGGAGCCACTCCCGGGCAGCTGCCTCAGCTCAGGGATTGGGGTGAGGTCAAAGAAGAGATCAGCCTGAATCACAAACCCAGAGCCCAGCAGGTTGGCATTAATGATCCATCCCCAACCCACCACAGTTTCTAATTAATAATTAATAACCTCCTGCCCCCTCCTCTGCCATTTTTGTGCAGTGTCTTGGCAATGAGGAACACACACGTACCAGGTACAAATATTTACAGGTTTCACTGAGGAAAAAGCTCTCCATTCGATCCTCCTTCGTCTTCTCCACCACGTGGTGCAATGTGGCATAGCCACACCTGCAACATTGGACATTGGTTTGGGGTCAGTTCCAGCTGTCCTGCTCTCAAAGTGCTCCCCAGACACTCCTTCACTTGAGAGCATTCCAACTGCCAGGGGTGAAGTTCAAATGCAATGGTGTTGTGCAAGCACTCACTGGTTATTGGTCCTGGGGTGCTGAGGGGTCTGTGATCAGCTGGACCCCACTCAACAGCAATGTCTGACCTGGCCAATCATTGCACATTTGTCTAGGAAATTAGTCAATTAATAATAAGGAATAAAAATTCATTGTCTTCCCCCTGAGCCTTGCAAGAAGTTTGGCTACTCAGTATTAAAGTCAGGATTCACTGCTGCTGTCTTGAACTGGGAGCTGACATCCAACAGCATCTGGCTTAGGGGCCATCCCTCAGTTCAGCTAAACACCATGAGGTGGGAAATAATCTTGCAGGATCCCTAGGAAAAATCCCAACTACTATTTTCAGCAGTTTTTAGCAGCTGATCATCAACAATGCATTTTGAAAGGCAAGTGATAAAATTCCAAAGGTGTAAAGCTGCCATGGACTATAATTTCATTTTCAGATGGGAAGGAAAGAAGTGCTCAATAAATAAATCATCACTTGTGGCTTTCAAGGAGGGCTGGGTTTTCTGGTTTACCTACATGTGGCAGACTGGATTCTATGTAATATTTGTATAATAAAATGTAAGTATATAGCACTGAGAGAAGAAAAGAACATTGAAGACTGACTTTGCTTTTGTATATTTTTCCAAACTCTGCAGAATATCCATTCCCACATGAAGGTAAAACGGGTTCTTTGTGGCCTAAATAAGGAAGACAGACAAGAGTTAGAGTCAGCAATTTTGAAATCTTGTAAAAATAACACAACAAAGGCCTACTGGTACCAGAGTCTTGTGTATCACAGCAAAGTTATCTTTATAGGAGCATGATTTGGATTAGCCAGTGCAAGCTTCTCACATTTGCTTTAGTGCAAATCCTAGAAAACCTGCAGTAAATCCAAACTCTCTGATCCCTTCCTTGTAGGCAGACAGTAATTTTAGTTTATTGTATCTGTGCCTGGACAGTATTGCAAGGGAAGCTGTTGCATTTACTTCAACAATTTTGGTTGAGCGGTCACAAGTCTCTGCCTTGTAAAAATTTGCCAGCAGCTTTTAGAAAAGGGTGTTTAGTGTTGTTTTTGCCTTCCTTATAAAAAAAGGCTATTTTTGAAGCAAACAGCAGAGCAACAGCATTGCACAACTCTGCAGTGCCTGCCCAGAGACTCCACATGACAACAGGCAGCTCCAGCTGGCCACGGGTCGGGGCAAAAGGGACTTTCTGAACAAAAGCCTTTTGGCCAAGCCATGATGTGCAACTCAAGAAGTCAAATACCTGATAAAGAAGATATGTGGACTCCACCAGCTCCGGCCTCAGCGGGTAAAAGGGAACATCTGGGGCCTGCAGCTGCCAGTTGTACCTCTCTGGGAGAGCTCCATAACGTTTCCATATGGCATAATAGAAGGCATGGAGACAAATGGCATCTTCCACATCTCCTATCAACACCTGGGCACGAGAGCAGCCAGAGACATGCACATTTAGTGCTGCAAGGCAGCAAAGATGAGAATGTGGCACCTAACACAACTCTTCTCCCATAGAACATGCAGAAAATAACCCCCAGAAAGTACTAATGTATTCGTTCTTTGCAGTAAAAGTTTAAGCAGCACAGAATAAGAATGCTGAGGTTAAAGGAGGGAAATTGAAAGTCTCTCAGATCTAGCAGAGCGCAGGCCAGGCCTCCCCACATTCTTGTGTTAATGCAGAGCTGAACTGAGCTCTTATCAGAGCAGCCAGATGCAAACCCACAGGTGGGAGCTCAGCTCAGAACTCAGCCTCATTCCCAGCCCAGGATTAGGATAAGCCTTCCCACTTGGCCTTTACCAGAAGGAAAGCTTACCTGCAGTCCAGGGAAGAAGGCCTGCAGGGAGTCAATCCAGGTGTTCATCAGCTGGCCCGTGTACATGTTCACGTTGACGTACAGGGGAGGATCCCCTTCTCCTTCGTTGCAGGCCTCACGACTGCCAGGGAACGAGAGCAACATGGAAATGTCTCTGCTGGAGGAGAACGCAGCACACTGCCACCAGCACAGGCAAGCAGCCACTGCTTTGTGTGCTGGGCTCCTTGTGAAAGGAACCAAACATCAGCCGTGCTCCCAGACAAGTTCATTCATAAAGGGATGTATCCTATCCAGCAGAATCTCTACCAAAAAGTCGTGCTAGGCAAGATGAGGCTTTCAGAAGAGCAAAGCAGCCAATTTAATGCATTTCTTTTGCAGTGCCAGTCTTTTCTCAGCCTTAACATTTTTAAATGGGACAGGAACCAGTTTGGCTTCTCTGCACCCCATCAGTTGCTGAGGAATGAGGAGACTGCCATGGAAATGAGATTTTGCTTCTTACAGTAACAAGAACAGATTTTCTAGAGTGTGACACAAAGCACTATAAACAGATACGTTTCAGATCTTGCTGGAGGATTCACTGCTCAAGGAATTGATGCTGAATGAATCACATACCCTCTCCTCAAGTGGTTCTGAATGTTCTGATAAGCAGCATTGAACATTTCCAGGTCTTCCTTTTCCCCAAAGAGGATGTAGGACTTCAGCAGGTACTCATAGAAGGAATCTGACCCTGCTCCCAGTCCACTCTGCTTTCCAACCCAGTGGCCAGTCTGGATATTCACAACATTTCCTTTCAGAACAAACAAAAAGTTTAGTCTGAGGCTGCTGAGTATATCAGAGGAAAACAATCCAGTCAAGATTTGGTAAAATTACATGTTTGGAAATTCCCTAGGAGGAAGGATCAAAGATTGGCATCAGATGAAGTGTTACAGTGGTGGATTCATCCGAGGAACACCCACACACACAGAGTTATTTTAAGTACTTTTAGTCATCTGCCAATCTGAATTATATTAATGGGGACACAAATCAGGGCCTTCAGTTCCATTCCCCAGTTCTGTGAAAAATTCCATTTGAAAACCTGTGCCCTAAGGAGTGTTTCAGAGACTCCATTTTTCTTACAAAACCCCAAAGCACCACTAGTTCAACACAACCCCTGGGTACACCAGGAGAACGTGGCTGACCAGCTACAGAGGGAGCAGAAGGACAAAGGTGAGGCCACCTGAAGGACCTGATGGCACAGCCTGAGCTGTGCCATTACCCAGCCATTACCCAGCAGTCCAGTGTTATTGCTCCTGAGGCTCCACAGGGCCTTCACAGCTCTCCTGGCCACCCATTCGAACGTGGAATCACCAAGCAGCCTGCTGAGGATCCCAAACTCCACCAGCAAGGATCCAGCTCCTGCTGTGCACGTCTCGTTGTGGCTGTCTGGAGGAACCCCCTTCTTCAGGTTCACCTGTGAACAGGGACAGTCCAACAGGGCTGCACTCAGCCAGCTGTGCTCACAGCTGCACCCTCACCTTTAGGAACAAGCTTTTTTGGTAGTTTTTGCACAATGTGCAGCGTGAAATGTGCACAGAGACACAAAACCAGCACGCTGCTGCTTGGAAAGCTTTCCTGTAGAATTCCTGATATTCTTCCAGCTTTACAGCATCATGCTTAAAGGGGGCAGGCCTCATTTTTCTCTTACACTTGCTAACCCTTGCAAACTTCACCCCACTTTTTCATGCTTTCCATTAAACATTCAGGCTTTTCCTTCTTTGCTGCCCCTCAGTTTGTGCTGCTGAAACCAAGAGCTCCTCCCCTTCCCCATGGAACACAGTGCTGAAGGGAAGTTACACCACCCTCAGCTGCTTTACCAGGCTCTGAACAGAAGTGAAAACTCACATTTCTACAGCCTGGCAGGTCTGGAGAAAAAGCACTACTGCTGTCTCCAGAAATTAAGGGCAGCCAGGCAAGCGCTAATTATAGTTTTGCAGTTTAGGATTGTTCCAGTAGTAGTGACATCCTTCTCCTTGCCAACTGCATCTGCTTAAAACAAGAAGCTGCAGCATCCAAGAATCCCAGAGCATTGAGTACCCACTGAGCAGTCTTCAGGAAAAATATAAACTCCAAGCCCAGTATGATAAAGATTTCAGAAGAGTTTTATTCTAATAGAATTTAGTAGCAAGTCAGGAATAGTCCCTTTCCTCAGCTATTTGCCTTTACAATATTCCTTGTTAATGACAGGATTGTTTGCTGCTGTGTGACACAGGGCAGGGAATGCTCCAGCCAAACAGCACAGGAACAAATGACTCCTGACCCACAGGGAACAACAAACACAGCGAAAAATCAGCCCAGGGAAAACATTTACTAGACAGAAGGAGCAACCTGAGCAACCCATGTCACCAAAACTTGGGGCAGTTTCCCCTGTGTCATTTTAGAATAACTTGGAGCAGGCTCAATACCCCAAGTGTACATAAAAAGGCACAAAATTAAAGTTGTATGACAGGTGAAACATTGTTTTGAGCCTATTTCCCCCAGGGCTGCTGTGTCCACTCACCCGAGGATAGGGAATGCCAGTTTTGGTGTTCTCAAAGGCTGGGAGCAGCCTCACTGCCAGGTCATGAGCCAAGTGCAGCAGCTCATTGTCATAATCCTTAATGGTCATATCACCAAAGGGCTGCTTGGTGTCTGTGATTATGATGTGGGCAGACAGCAGGCTTCCCAAAACCCTGTGAAAAAAGGAAAATTCAGGTTTTCAGTCTGTTCTGAACCTCACTCTTCACCTGAACACCTTACTGGCATCATGTCTGACAACAGGAACTACACAAGATGATCTGGTTTTCCCCCACCAGTGGTGAACATACGTAGAAATCATGCTGCTGTCAGCCACAGTATCCCAAAACCTGGTTCTGCAAAATTTACCTAACCCAGGAGTTCTTGTAACAAGTCTGTTTAGGAGTGAAGACCTGCTTGTCCCTGCAAATGGCAGGAAGGGTGTTAGATAAACTTAGTACTCAGAGAAAAAAAGGCCAAACACTGCTTGAGGCACTCAGAAAATGAAACCCTTTAAAATCAGACAGGATCCAAACCCATTTCCAAGACCAGAGTGTTTTTCATCTAAAATGAAAATGAAAGTGAGCAGAAGTGCATGAAACCAAAACAAATCAGGGAAAAGCTGTCCCAGGATTGTTTGTTGGGCACAGATCTGAGTCTCTGCTGTAAGAGATACAACAAAAAAACAGAGTCTGCAAGCACAGAGCCACTGTCTCACTGCTCCAGGTCACATGGGACTGATTAAAATTGTTTCCAGTATGAAAGGATGGAATATTTCCACAGAAGATTAAGAAACAGCTTACTTGATGAACAATTTAGGGAATAAAGCCTGCCAAAGAGCTCCTAATCAATGATTTCACTTTGAATTACACACACCAAGTCTTTAACCTTGTTAGTACTTTAAAGACAGAAGCTCAGCACCACATACCTGATTGTTGCCTCAAAAACCTGGACTGTTGAGTCTTTATCAAATGAAACTGTGTCAATCACCAACTTCACCGCCTTCTGGAATTCTGAGGAGTTTCCCATTACCTTTTACAGAAAAACAAAGCTAGTTTGTACAATTTTTGCTTCAGAAAACAGTTGGGGAAGAGAATGGTAAGTTCACATCTTAGCCCAGCAGTCAGACTTAGCACACTGAGTGTTCAAACTGCCTGAACTATCAGTTCAAGAGTTAAGTCTAGCTTAAAACATAACTTGCAGAACAAAAGTTTGATTTAATGTTTATTTGACCAAAGGTCAGTCCAACCTCTCAGGTTCCTGACCCAACACTGCACATCCAGGAGTTCCCTTGTGCCTGCTTCCTACAGGTCTAACCTAGGAAGTGATTTCCACTGCATCCAGAGACAGATGTAAATTCTGCCTGAGCTTTAGGGGAGCAGGAATGTGAAAGAAAAACACAAGTTCCTACTTGCCTGAGCTCATGAAAAGGCTGGGACATACCTAAATTTTTAACCAAAGCAGCAGGTGCCAGCTGTCCCCATTACCCAGCCCCAGAGGGGAAGCATCATGTGTCTGATCTGAGCAATGAGGAGAACAGGCTTCCCCCATGCAGAAGCTTCTGAAACACAAGAGACTTTAGCAACCAGAACCTTCACATTTGAGCAAAGAACTTAAGCACTGCCCTGTTGGTGATAGGACAGGAAGGCACTGTCATCAGCCACACAGCACAGATCCCAAACTTCTCTCAGTAAAACCCAACATTTCCCTCACTTCTGCTTTCAACCCTGCTCAAGCAGCTCCTCAGCACTGCTGCAGTCCCAGGTAGAATAGAAAGCGTTCTATATATATAAAACCTATATATTTACATCCCAAAGAGCCCAAACCACCTTCTGCACCTGACTCCTCACGTTATCTTCCAGTTTTATCAGAAATGCAGGCGAGAAGCAGCTTTACAGGTGTTCCCCTCCTTCCCTTCACTCTTCACACAGATCTGAGTGTCAGGCCTCCCTGCCAAGTGAAACAACCAAAGCTCTTCCAGCTATTGTGCACACAATGAGCCCTCCTCCTGCCGGACCTCTCAGCAACTCACAGCACTTCCAGTTCAAATCCACCCATCCGGAGCACCAGAGTGATGGCATATCCCAAAGAGATGAACCTTGGGGAGGAGCTCCAAAATTTCCTCTGGCTCTTCAGGAAATCTCTGCTGACATCTCCAGCTACTGGCATTGTGTTACCCCCATGTGACCCTGCTGGTTTATGATCCAGCTGTTAGCTCGTGATCCAGCTGTTAGCACCACCTGGGCAAGCCCTGGCAGCACCCCCAGGCAGGGCAGTCCCTGGGGTGACCAGAGCAGTGTCCCCAAGCCAAGGACTCACCGCCAGCGTGTCCAGCGCATCTATCAGTGTCAGGGAGTAGTTCCCCAGCACATCATTGATGTTCAGGTTGGAGCTGGAAGAGCAGAATCACACAATTGTTAAGGTTGGAAGAGATCTGTGCAGATCATCCAGTCTAACCCCCTGTCCAGGCAGGGTCACCTGGAGCGGGTGACACAGGAACGTATCCAGGTGGGTTTGGAATGTTTCCAAAGGGGAAGGCCCCACAACTCCTTGGGCAGTTGTTCCACAGTTCTACCCACTATGGAAAGAAGATCATTCCAGTACCTGAAGGGAGACTACAAGAATTATGGAGAGGGACTGGAGTGATGGGACAAGAGGAAATGGCTTTGAACTGAAGGGGAATAGGTTCACATTGGATATTAACAGGAAATTGTTCCCTGGCAGGGTGGGCAGGCCCTGGCACAGAATTCCCCGAGGAGCTGTGGCTGTCCCGGATCCCTGGCAGTGCCCAAGGCCAGGCTGGAGCAGCCTGGGACAGTGGGAGGTGTCCCTGCCATGGCTGGGGTGGCACTGGGAGGGCTCTGAGGTCCCTTCCCACCCAAACCATCCCACAATTCATACACAGGTGGAGCTTATATTTTAGCTTATGGCCATTACCACCTAACCGCGGCTGAGCAGCACCGGGAGGAGGCTGGGCCCAGCCTAAACCACAGGGAGACACACAGGGCCCCATAGAAGTCCCGGGCCCGGCAGCCGCTCCCTGCCCCGGGCCGAGCTCCCAGCCCCGGGCCCAGCAGCCGTTCCCAGCCCCGGGCCCAGCAGCCGTTCCCAGCCCCGGGCCCAGCAGCCGTTCCCCGCCGTTCCCGCTCCCCCGGCCGCATTGCACTCACGGATCGCGGCGGTCGGGCCCGCGGCCGCGGCAGTGCAGCGGGTCGAGCTCGTCGCGGGGGAAGGCGTGCTCCATGTAGCTGTCGTAGCCGAACACGAACATGCCCCGGGCCGCGTCCCGCAGCCGCGCCCGCAGCTGCGGTGGGAAGGCGCCGCTGTAGCGCCGCTCGTACTCATCGCCGCCGGCCGCCGCGCCCCACAGCCGGGCCCCGCGCCCCGCGGCAGGGCCGGGCAGCGCGGGCGGCCGCGGGCCGGGGCAGGGCAGGCGCGGGTGCAGGCAGAGCCCTCGGGCGAGCGCGGGCAGCAGAGTCAGCAGCGCCTGCAGCCCGAGCCGCAGCAGCAGCAGCCCCAGCACCACCGACCGCCATCGCATGGCCGCCCGCGCATAGCGCAGCGGCGCCGCCCGCGCCGCGCCGCGGCCCCTTTAAGAGCGGAAGGGAAACACGGGTTGGGAGCGGCGCGAGGCCCGCCCCCCCGCGCTCCTATTGGTGGAGCCGGCGCGGAGGCGGGAGCGGCCGCCGGCCATAGGGCGCGCGGTACGTCACTCAAAGGCACCGCCCGGCGGCGTTAAAGGGGCGGGGCGGCGCGGGGCTGGCGTGGCACGGCCCGCGGCTCCGCCCGGGAACAGGGGCGGGGCAGGGCCGGATGGCGGCGGGGCCTCCCCGGACAGGCCCGGGCCATGGGTCCTGCCCTGCTGCCGAGCCCTGCCCCGCTGTCACAACCTCCCCCGGAGCGCTCGGGCTGGGGCAGAGCGGTGCAGAGCTGGGAAAGGACCCGCTGACAGCGGCTGGACGGCAGCAGGAATTCCCTCCATGGAAAGGGAGCTCAGGCCTTGGACCTGCCCAGGGAGGTTTGGAGTGCCCATCCCTGGAGTGCCCAAGGAAGGGCTGGAGGTGGCACTGGGGCCAGGGTGGGATCGGGCACAGCTGGGACTCGATGATCCTGGGGTTTTGCCCAGGCTCGGTGCTCCAGGGACTCTGTGGGATGTGTGAGCCGCGGCTTGTGCAGCCCAGCCCGGGCTGGCAGCAGGAGCCCCTCGGGCCGGCCCTGGCGCCACAGAACACGCACGGAACGAGCCCCGGCCAGGGCAGGAACCGGGAATTGCGGTGGGAGGGAGGAAGGCAAGGCACGCTCCGGCCCAGGATCCAGAGGAGATGGACACAGGGATTTCCTGCCCCACTGCCAGACTGGACAGTGGACAGCAAGGTGACCGCAGCAGGGGAGACCCGTGCGACGGCTCCGGGGCAGCTGCAGGAATAGAGGAGCTGACAAAGGCCAGATGCGGATGTGAGAGTGAACACACTCCGCATGTAAAACCAAACCTCTCGACGACAAACAAAGGAACGGAAAGAAACCACAGCTGGGGGAGGTAGAGAGGAAACCCAGCTCTGAGCTACCCCAGCAACCTCAACAGCATCCAGACCTGGCTGTGCACAGGTCACCTGTCACTGAACGGAGCTGCCCTTTCACACTGGCGTTGCATCTTTTTTCCAAAGTGCCTGATTTGTTACAAGGAAATGGGACAAAATATGAAAAATGCTTACAAGGAAAAAAAAATAAATAAAGGATTTCTTATGCACAGACAGACAACCAGACAATAATCTATCTTCAGCTTGTATTTTAGAGTAGTTCAAATCTTTGTTTTTCAATTATTGTAACAGAAACTGTAGAATGAATAAATCCAAACCAAGTATCACAACTCAGTGGTCCATCCAGACTGCTGGATGCTGACATTGGACAAAATCCTCTAGCCACAGTCATCTTTCAGTTCCCTTCCTCAGTCTGCAGAATTCATGGATCTTTTAAATGTTACTCAAATCAAGAAGGGAATTCATTACTGATTCTAAAAAGAGGAAAATTCCTCCTTGTTGCAAAGATAAGTATCCACACCCCAAGTTAACACAATTACACAAAAGCACCTTAATAGTTTACTTACTCATGGGACTCTTGCAAGAATCAAGTTTAGCTTTAAATTTCACACACCAAAACAACTTTTTCTTCGGCTATTGACATATTTACTCTGTTTGTTGAATAATATAATCAACCCAATGGGGCTTTTCAGAGAGAAACACAAATGAGACCAACCAATGCTTCCAGTACCAGAACAAAAATATTCAGAAATGGCAATTTCAGAGCCTGGCCTCTCAAAATTGCCTGTACTGAGCACAATGTTTACAGTCACTCTCCAGATGAAGTTATGTAGGTAAAGATACCCAAATGTTTCCCACAATTAGGTAATGAGGGCTCTTAGATATTTCTAGCAATAATAAAAACAGCTGTCCTACTACAGATGAATATGCAAAAAAGTGGTTTTCAACAACACTTTATTGAAGCACTTCAAAATTATCACAATGATAGATGTTGCCTTTAACAGAATAAAACCTGTCATGTCATAATTAAAAGGCACTAATCCTGGCACAAAGGTCTACTTACCCACCTTCCACTGTGAGGGAAATAAAAACAAGTATTTCACATCTCCTTTTAAATAGCATGTGCAAAGCCCCTCTGAGTGCCATTCTGTGTTTGCCATGAGAAAACCCTTCTGTTTCACCAAGACACACGGGAACATGCAGCAGCTGCAGCCCTAAAGCAGCAGAGCACTCTCTGAAGGGTCATGGTCTGGTGAGACAAGTTGTTCTGCACTCATGTTTTGGGAACTAAAGCCCTGAAGCTCAAGCACTCACACATTGCTTCTCCTTTAACGTGATTCACTGTCTGTGTCAGCTTAGAAACAGCTGAATATGCTGCTCTCCACCCCTTTTTGGGATCCACACTCGTCAGGGTCAGTGCAGGAGCAAGGCAGGGGAGCAGTGCTGGGCATGCTGGGGGAGCACAGTTCCTGCACAAAGCAAACCAGGACGTGCCATTGCACAGCCACAGCCATGACAAAGGAAACCTCAGGGAAGTTAAAAGCTTGATAATCCTGCTAAGCCATACCTCAGCTTATTACAGATCCCTGCACAACGTTCTGAGATTCAACAGAGAGACTGTTTAAGGCATTTTCTTTGGCCTTTACTTCTACCAGAAAGTGAAGATTATGCAGTTTGATATCAGCACCCAAAATCTTTCCAACCTGTTTCCATCAAGATGCAAAGAGAAAACATAAATCGTTGAGAAACTGGACGATTGGTTCCACAGATCATGGCACAGCTCCACATTTGTGCAGCTTTCCTGTTGCCAAGTGGTGGGACAGAGCTGCTTTGTGCAGCTGCTCAGCTCCTCAGCTGTCCCTGGGTGATGGGAACTCCCCTTCTCTGTAACTTCACTTGGAGGAGCTCCATCCACGCTGACCAGGACAGGGACACTGCGAGGAAAACTCTCCCATAGCCCTTCCTCATCTCATCAATGCTGCTGCAGGAGCACCTGCACAGAACAGAGCCACCAGGGACTGAGAGCTGATTTAAAGCCCAGGACAGCACACAATGCCCACACCCACCAGGTCACAGAGGTAGGACTGCTGTCCAGCTTCCAGGTACTCACCACCACGAGTTCTCTCGGGCTCAGTGTCTGCCTTTTCACAAGAGCTGCTTTTCTTAATATGCCAACAGCCAAGACCTGCATCGGAGGAGTTTCAGGACTATGGCCATTGATGTCAAATGCAGTAACTTATGAAACTAAAATGCATCCCCAAAAGCAGCTTTTGTGAAGAGAATGGGAAATTTAATCAGCCTCTTTTTACTGCCCATGCTCACTGCAGAGCCTGAGACAAGTAATCATGGTGAAATTACATTTCTAGAACACAGCTACAGCATCCAAGTTCAGCAAACACCACTGCTAATGCCTGAACTCCACACCTGTATTAGGCCAGAAAAGATTTAACCTTGGACATAATGTGCCAGATGAGTATTGTTTTCAGTCCAAGGCTGAAAAGGTGTTGAGAAGGAAACACTTCCTCCACTACTCTTGTTTCAAAGGAAAGGTACCTGGCAAATTACTCAAGCCCAGAAACAGAGTAAGTGCAGCCCTGTGCACTGGAATCCAACAGCCACTGTGAGGTCTCCTTCCTGCCACAGGAGTAACCGAGGGCATGTGGCAGAGCAGTACCAGAGAGCTGTGAAACCCAGCTGGGGGCATTCTGGGGACTATTGCAAACGTACCTTTTGGAGCACACACGTGTTACAGGGGGCCCCTGTCTCTCCCTGCTATTTACACCTAGAAACAGAAACTGGTACTGAAATACCACATCAAGCGAAGAGGTGTGGGCCACTTCATACCACAGCTAATTTACTGAATGATTGGTACTAATATCACACCAACCAGGCTGACAAGGCTTAGTGCACTAACACTGTTTTCAGATTTCTGTCTAGAGACATTTTACTTTGACTATGAACTACAGGGAGCTTGTTCTGCATGCAGGAAACTCCGAAAGAAATATGCACACAATCTTTAACAGTTCACTAGTCCTTCCCACCAGGTGAGTTACATGTGAAGGATGCTCAAAGACCTGCACTCAGGACTAAAAACTAACCTGATACAGCTCAGCAAGTTTGAAAGCTCACAGGGAGACAAGGCTGAAACAAGACATCCAATTTCTTACCATTAATTGGAAGATGCTGACAGACAGTCCTATAAATTAATCAGTGTCCTAAGAGAAATTAAGACAGCAGAAACCTTTGGGAAGTCAGTGAAACTTTGGATTAAAATCATGGCAAAGATTTTGTTCAAGACCTTAGTCAACAAAAGCCTTGCTTTCCACTAAGATAAGAATCTTTCTGCTTTAATTGGCAGTGAATGATCAGGCACTGCAAGATCTGACACTTGTGCTAGAAAAACAAAGGTTTTACTCTAGGCTCCACACAAGAACCAAGCTTGCAGACATATACATTTCTCTCCTGAAAACAGCTCCAGAAGGCTGTCCCTACTTCAGACCCTGCAGCTGACCAGTGCTTTTCACACACATAAAAAAGCCCTGAAATCTGCTCAGACTGACTATCTGAGCTTGCTCAGGTAAGGTGAGCAAGCCCCAGGCCTCAAAGGTAGTTTTGGAAGCATTTCACTGGAATAGTTGAATCACAGAATAGAAATCAGCTCGGTATTTACCAATACTTCTTCCCCCACTGTAATCTTTGGCAGAGGAGACAGACATCCCATTGTGGTATTCCATTTTGAGTTCAGCCACATCAACTCAGGTCAGGCAGTTAAGTGTCAATACAACCCTCAAAACATAAGTTTATTGAATAAAGCTGAAGAGCAGTAAACCAACATATGCATCCACCTAAATAAAAAAATTCACGTATTTACAAAGTTCAGTAATTGTATAAGTTGTTCACATGCAGAGAGTAATGCACAGGTTAACAATTGGTAGTGTTTGGATGCCATAAACGCTGAAAGCAGTGAAGTAGATAAACACCAAACACATCAAGTTTAGCTATA